TAAAGGGTAAAGGTAACACACGAAGTACTTACACTTGTCACTTGTTCTCCTACTATATCACTACTCCTACTCTCCCACCACTATACCCCCCCTACCCCCACCACACACACACACACACACACACACACACACACACACATTCCGATTCTTAGTCACTGGAGTGGTGGACCATGGAGGTTTCCTCGTAAGTGGGGTATGTACAACAAACTAAATCAAACTTCATAGCTCATGTGTACCTGTTCAGTGAGGAGAGGGCTATTGTCGTTATACTTGCTGATTATGCAATAACATAATATTCTGGATCCAAGGTGCTTCCCCCAGATGTTTTTGCCCTGGTTGACTGCACTTGTTGATCATGAAATAAATTTACTATGCAAGGTGCTTCCACTGGATGTTTTGTGCCCAGTTGGACTGCACTTGACATACACAATAGTATCCCAAGGTGCTTCCCCTGGATGTTTTGGCCCAGGTGAACCGCACTTGGCTTATTTCTGTATCCAACGTTCTTCCCCCCTGAGATTTGCCCAGGCAGACTGCACTTTTTGATCTCTTTATCTTATGCAAGGCACTTACACTGAATGATTTCTGCCCATAAGGACCACTCTTGGCAAAATCTGACTTATGTAAAGTTGCTTCCCTTGGATGTTTATTGCCTGGGCAGATCATACTTGGCCATGATATTAGAAATCCAAGGTGTTTCCCCTAGATGTTTTTGCTTGGGTGGACCACACTTTTTGATCTTATAAAAGGAACTTCCACTAAATATTTTTGCCCTGGTGGACTGCACTTAGCCTATTCATATACTATTTATGGTACTTTAGCCTTAGCCATATATAATTGTATTATCAGGCACCTTACTATGACTGACTATTACTATGTCCCATACTAATGCTTGCTACATATGTGAACGAAGTATGCACTATCTGTTGCCAAAGGGCTGATTCTGAATTACCTGACAATTTTTCATCAAACTACTTATTCAAGTCACTATCCCTGGATCTTATTTTATTTTTTTTGTCGGGTAGAATCGCTTTTGTTGCTCACAATAACCTAGACAAGACGTTTCCACTAGATGTTTTGCCCGGTTGGATAGCATTTTACATGTTCGGTGGCCCCAAGACTATACCCTTGGCACATATTTATTTGGACCCATTGTCGATTACACACTAGACATTCCATTTTTGTACATGCTATGTTGTTTCACGTCATGGTTATACAACACTTCACTACAGTATGGTGCTGTACATTTCTTTCTTGAGGCTACAGTGTCTGCCTATTATATTCTGCCCTACATGTATTACTGTGTTCATTACTGGATTAAGAGCATACCTATTAAAATTATCATTCATATAAGAGACCCACTCGAGATGAGGAATTGTGGAGTAATGTCAGGAAGTTATTGAAGGAATCCATATTAACTTTTTGGAAAAGCTCTGTTTGGATGTAGAGTGCTTTCTAGAACTTGGACAACAACCTTTTTATGTGATGACTATTTGGCCACCAGTGGAAGAACTATCTCGCTGTTTACATCATCTCCAATAGCTATGGCTATTAACAGGCTAGAATGGCGTAGGACAGAAATGAGGGCATTGCAGACTAGTTGACTAAACACCTTAGCTGAGTCTAAACATATGGAGTCCTCATGGATAAGTCTGTTTATTGTCCTTAGGACAAGACTATCAGAATTCAACCTCCCCGCTTTTTAATGCTGGT